CACGAGAGGGTCGCGACTCAGCTTTCTGCTTTGCGCTGTGACGGCTCTCACGAGCATTCTATGCGTTTTGTGCTTCGAGATACTCAGCACTACCCCGAACTTCTGTGTAGAAGGGTTTTGGAGAGCTTAGAGTGACTAAGTTCCTCTTCGCAGCCATTTCCACTCAAAATTTTTCCTTTTAAGGGTTTGGTAGTCCCGCCGGAATGGACCACTACGGTCTCCAGGCTTTCAAGGATGCCATGGTTTCTCTTTCTTTCGTCGACTTGCAGAATGAAGCACCGCTTCTTGAGAGACTGCTTGTCTTGACTTTTGCCGCAGGGTTTGTGACAGGGTGCGTCTTCCTAGGGGTTGGTCGCTGTCTGTACGCCCGTTGTCTGGCGGAGCCAGAATGGCCAGTACTTTACTTGACTTCCAAAGGTGCTTGCTATCACGTGAAACGTGATTGTCCAAGCATTCGGCATACGACGCCGCTGACACGCAGGATCTGTCTTTTCTGCGCTCGGGAACCTTCGAGGCTTCAAGAGTCTACAAAGAAGGGTGACTGACCCGAACGCCCAGAGGGGGTGTAAACGTATATCCTCTGTTTGGGAGGATATGGTGGGCGTCCGGCTCATCTGTAGAAACCTGAACAGTTCTCGGCTAGTTTCCTGGCACTTGGAGTGTGAGGGACTCTTTTCGCTTTAAAGCCGTAGGTCCTGTAGGTTTTCCCTGTTTTCGGACGTTCTGAGGAGCTTTGGTAGTACCAGGGTGCTTTTGGCCCATGGGAAGTTGTTTAGAGAGCTCCGAGCCACCTTTAGGTAGTTTGCACCTCGGTTTGCTGGAAGACTTTGTGCCGACTTGGCTCAAGACCGGAACTGCGTGTGGAGTGCAGCAAAACGAAGGTCTCTGTCCGAGTGTTGTGCTTGGTAAGGGGTTTTGCTGGGGCTTGTTGCAGTTTCGTTCTTTTTCGCACATTATGAACTTTGCACGCAAACCGCACAAAGACCAACTTAACCATGCTATAACTTCTCACACACACACAAAAAAAAAGAAGAAGAAACACGAAATTGCTTTTAGGGTCTAAAGCGAACGAAAGAAACTGTGTGATCGAAACAATCAAACGCGAAGGAAAGCACACGATATCGCTTTAAGGGAAAAGACAAAGAAAATAAAAAATGAAAAAACACAAGTGAAAACACACACACACGACAAAGGATTTTTTTTCCCTCTATGGGTCCCTCCCCCTTTGACAAAGGGGGGCTTAAGAGAGATGCTTTAAGGGGGGCTTTAAAGAGGCTTTAAGGGGTGAGCAAAGGGGGGCTTTGACAAAGGGGCTTGAAAGGGGGGCTTAAAGGGGCTTTAAGGGGGCTTTGAAGGGGGGCTTCAAGGGGCTTTGAAGGGGCTTTGAAGGGGGCTTTAAGGGGCTTTGAAGGGGGCTTTAAAGGGGGGCTTTAAGGGGCTTTGAAGGGGGCTTTAAAGGGGGCTTTAAGGGAGCTTAAGAGGGGGCTTTGAAGGGGGCTTGAAGCGTAAGCCAGACAAATTCTGCACCTTCCTTGAAACGAAATATTAGCTTAACATCTGCGCTTCTTATTGATTTTTGAGTTGACAGCAAGTGCACTCCACTTTCTCCTCCACTTTGAACAAAATTGTAGGTCTTGGGGGCATTTGGGGCCTGGAGCCTGGATTTGGATCTGCGGCTTGGATTTGAGCCTGGATCTTCCTCTAACAGAAACGCTCCGCATGGAGCATCTTATGCATTTCCATGTGCGACTTTTCTGGCTGAAGCACTGGTTTGGCCAAGATATGTTATAGTGCTTCTGGGTTTCAAAGTTTCTGGGTACAGGGTTCAAGGATTAGGGGTTTTTGCTTCCAGGGTTTCTGGGTTTAGCACTGCGGTTCAAAGGGTCTTGGGTTTAGTGCTTTTGGGTTTGAAGCTATCACTATTACTATTACTACTGTTACTGTACTAATGCTGAATTAGTATTACTATTCTTATTATTACTATTATTATTAATAATACTATTATTACTTTTATTACTACTATTACTATTATGACTAGTATTACGATAATTACGATTATTATTACTACTGTTATTAATTCTAGTATTATTATCATTACTATTCTTAGTACTATTATTACTATTACTGTTACTATAATTACAACTACACTTACTATTATTTTTGTTAATGCTATTATCACTACTATTACCACTATTACTAGTATTACGATTATTACTATCATTACTACTATTACTTTGCTATTATTTTTATTACTATTACTATTATTACTACTACACCTTCATGCGCAGCAAAAGTGTTAACTTTACTTCGCGTTCGAACACTCGACCACGCCAATCTCTGTGAACGGTTGCAAATTTCAATTCAATGCAAAGCAAAAGTGGTAACTTTACTTCGCGTTCGTGCGTTCGACCACACCAATCCCTGTGAAGTGTTGCAAAATTCATTTCAATGCACATCAAAAGTAGCAACTTTACCTAGCGTTCGTGCATTCGACCATGCCAATCCCTGTGAAAGGTTGCAAAGTGCCAATCCCTGTGAAGGGTTGCAAAAGCGCTTCGAAGTAGCAACTTTACCTCGCGTTCGCGCACTCGATCACGCCAATCCTTGTGAAGGGTTGCAAGTTCGTGCATTCGACCACGCCAATCCACGCAAAGGGTTGCGCGGGAACTCTAAAATGTGTAACTTTACCTAGCGTTTGGGCGCTCGACCAAGCCAATCCATGCAAAGGGTTGCGCGTCGACCGCATAATGTGTAACTTTACCTAGCGTGTGGGCGCTCGACCACGCCAATCCATGCAAAAGGTTGCGCGGGAATTTAAATGCGTCGCTTGGGCGCTCGACCAGGCCAATCCCTGTGAAGGGTTGCGCGCGGCGTCTAAAATGTGTAACTTTACCTAGCGTTTGGGCGCTCGACCAGGCCAATCCCTGTGAAGGGTTGCGCGCGGCGCCTATAAAATGTATAACTCTACCCAGCGCTTGGGCGCTCGACCAAGCCAATCCCTGTGAAGGGTTGCGCGGGAACCCTAGAATGTGTAACTTTACCTAGCGTTTGGGCGCTCGACCAGGCCAATCCCTGTGAAGGGTTGCATTCCCGATCGATGACGACGGTGCCGCCCCTGGCTTAAGAGAGAATAAAATATACCGAAATGTAGGGAGTCAAGCAGAGTGCATAGAGTCATAGCATAGAGTCATAGAGTCAAGTGCATAGAGTCAAGCAATAGAGTCATAGAGTCATGGAGTCAAGTGCATAGAGTGAAGCATAGAGTCATAGAGTCAAGTGCATAGAGTCATAGCATAGCATAGAGTCATAGAGTCATAGCATGCAGTGCATAGAGTTTCAATCCTGGTAAGTCATCTATGTATTCGATGTACTTCACTCGATGCATGTCATCCATGTACTCGATTCTATGTCTGTCATCTATCTACTTCTCTCGAGGGCTCCGCACGGAAGAACCCTTCGCGATGCTTTCGGGAAAAAACATGAGCTTGCGATGCCAGATGAGCTGCTTCGCGTTCGCTTGCTTTTTGTTTCTTGCGGGCAGCGGTTTGGAAAAGAGGCCTCTCACGTCTTGTTTTGTTGTGGTGCCATCGGGCATGAAACCACGTTAAGGGCAGCCCGGTGGCCGCGCTTTGTCACGCACCGTCTGCGCCTGAAGCTGCTGTTTTCACGCAGGAACTCTTCTGGCTTCTCTTCCTTCAGGTAGCCGCCGCCAACTCGAGTGATACGTAAGTCGCACAAATACATGGTCAGGAGTCAGGCGTCTGTCGTTCCCAAGCCCCCCCCAATGGTGTAGTCAGTGTAGTCTGCTAGGGGTGGAGGGGGGGGTGGTGTGTGCGGAACGGGATCGGGGCCGCTGCAGCTGTCACTGGATGGTGGAGTGGTGCTGGCGGCCAGGGCTCACACGCAAGCCCTTCGCAAGCAAGCCGTACACCCTATAACGCAGCGTGTGCTCCTGTTTTGAGTAACCTTAACTTGTATTTAAAACCTTACACTCGACCCTATAAACCCCACCTAACAGCAGGCTCTAAGCCTCAAGCAGAACATACACCGCAAATCCTCTTTGATCCCTTGTCGACTGCAAGCCTTAAACCTCATAACCGTGAACCCATAACTCAAAAGCTTAAGCTAAACCCTACACCCCAAAACCCCACAACCGCCCCACAGAAAGAAGAGGGACCCCACACCCCACACTAGAGGGGAGGGGGGCCCGACTTTTTGTCCGGACCATTGACCTTTTGGGGGGGAGGGGGGCCGCGGAGCGCGTGACCATACATGCCGTTTCAAGGGACGCATGATCGCAGCGGAGCACAAGAAAATGAGAACGGTTTGAGCAGAGTTAGAATGTGGCCAGTGCGGATTCTCATTCGTCGGCAAACTAGGATTGTGCATGGAACATTTCGCTCCACCGGTTTTTGTGCTGCTTATTTCTTCGCTCGAAGCGGACACTGAATGGTTTATGCTTTTTGATTGCGGCCATTGCGATCAACTGCGGGGCCTTGATGCGGCCAGTGCACTTCTCCAGCTTTTACGGAGAGCCTGAGTGGGGCATTGCCAAACTACATCATTGCGCAACTTGTTGCGGAGCCTTCGTGAGAGGGGATGTTATTCATCATCAGTGTGACTTCTGAAGCCAAACAAAACAAAAATTGGTTTTGGTCGCTAGTGATCGCTGCAGTTGGGTTCGTGTTTTTGGTGTTGTGATGTTTTGGAAGCATGCAAACCGCACGAGTTTCTTGAAATCCAAGCCATCTGTATGATTTTGCCCTTCCGGCACAACGACCTGCATCGTGCCAACAACAGTCTCAAAGCATATTCATGGCGCTTGTTTTGAAATGGCAAACGAATGGCAGCGGATAAAGATGCGAATTTGCCCGTGCACTAGCAGTAGCAGTTGGCTGGCTGTTGATTGTAAGATACGTATGGCATTTCTTTTTGAGGCAACTGCTGGTGTTGTTTATGTGCCGAAGTAGGTTCCAAGCTTCCTTTCGAAGCCTGTTGCAATGGGATCTGGAAGCTCCGCTGCAAAGCCTCGGACTGAAGATTGGTTTATGGTCGGGTGCATGCAGGTTGAGGCATGTGTGTTCGTGTCGGTCTGTTCAACACGTTGCCTCCTTTCGCTGCCAGTTTTGCAGGCAAGCTGTTCAACGACTAGCAGCATGCGTTGCTTTTTGTTTGCTGTCTACGCCTTGACATGCAAATCATGCACAGCATGTTCAAGACAAGTGTGGCAAGGTACGAGCGGCCAGCTCTCACTGTCGCAGACGTGGAACCTCAAGATGATAGAGATCGGACCTCAGCGCCCTGCATCTTCTTCTTCCACTACGTAAATATCATGCTGTGGAAGGGTCTGTTTCACATGTTGCTGGTTTGGGCTTGTAGCTGGCGGCATGCGAGGGAGTGCTGACGAGGCGGTGTGGAAGTCAAGCTGCAGTTGCCAAAAACTTCAGATGCGGATTGGATCTGTCCTTTCCCAACGAAGTCTGCCAGTGTGCAAGGTCCAGCAGTGTCGTTCGTCTAGCTCGGCCAGCCTTCATGTACGAAGCGTCCGGCTGAGATGTGGAAACTGATGCAAGAGCAGACCGACTGATACGCCGAAACCTCGAAAGCTGTTGTGAGAATCCTTTGCTGCTTTGCAAGCAATGACAGTATCTTTCCAGGTTCAGCGCCGGTCACCTACAGGCAAGCAACACGCAGGCGGCATGCAACGTTTGGTCTGTGGGCTTACTGTGGGTACAGACTGTCCAACAATCAGTAAAGCATGATGGGAAATAAAGTTGCTTGTTTGTTGAGTTCATGGGTGTGGCAGTTACAACACCCTGAAACTGGCAAAACCTAGGTTCTGGGGCTTGAAATCACAAATCAAACCCACTTCGCGTCGGCCGTGTAGTAGCAAACGCGAGGAACGTAGCGCACAGCCACAACTTTCCTCTTCAGGAAGCCTGCGACTGCGGCTTCTGTGATGCCAGGCTCGCTAGTGCTAGTGCTTTCACTTGGTTCATCTGAGTCTTGGGCTTGGGCTTTGTTGCCGCAGCCCCCATATTTGTGGAGAGTCTGCGGCAAATTTGCACTCAGCTGGTCATCATGCTACGTGAGCAGGTGCAATGGCCTTGCCGCAGGGTGTGCAGTCCCAACAACAGGCCCGGATAGCGCAGGACATGGGCAGCGGTCCAAGATTGTTGAATTTCTGACCAGATAACTTGAAACCCCTGCTCTTTGCTTCCGTGCGAACAGGATCTAACATAATCTAACATGTATGCAGAACTTGCGGACAGCATGTATTTTTCGAAAATGAAACTCCATCTCGTCGTTGCAGATGAAAGGCAAGCGCTTTGCCGCAGAATTGGCGCACGAAGTGGGAAAGGCGAGCTTCATGGCTTTGCAAAAGCAGAAACCATGGACACAGCAGGAAGACAAGACAAAGTCTAGTGAAAGGCCTGCCGCCGTGTTCTCTGTTCGTGGTGCTGCTGGCCCACGATACCTCCCCCCACTGAGGCCGAGACGGGTATGTATTTGTGTGTGTGTGTGCGTGTGTTTGCACAATGCCGGTTGTCCCGGCATCAGTTTGTTCCAGTATCGCGTTCTGTCGGGCTGGCCTTCTGCCTTTCTGCATGGGCTACACTGTTCAGCAAGACAGTACTAAGTTTGCAAACGGCTGTTTATGATGTTTCTGCAAGCAAGCAAGGAATTAATGAAATAAGAAAGGGCCGCATGAAGCAAAAGTATGCATGAAGGTATGTATGTGAAGGTATATGCTATATGTCCACCATGTGATATATGGAAATTATGCATGGTATGTCTAGTCTGTATGGTATGTACAGTATGGATAGTATGTATACGATGTATAGTAGTTATAATATGTACAATATGTTCAGTATGTATAATATGTTTACCATGTATGATATGTTCAATATGTAACATGTGTAATATATGTGCAGTATGCATAAAGTGTAAATTTGTGTAATATGTGTAGTATGTACAATATGTAAGGTATGTATCATATGTGTTATGTGTATAATATACACAATATGTAAAATAGGTACACTATCCATCTGTATAAAAAAATGTAATATGTGTAATATGTGTAATATGTATGACATGTAAAATATGTTTACCATTCATGACGTGTTCAATATGTGAAATATGTAATATCTGTATCGTAAGATGTATAGTATGTATAGAGTGTACACTGTTTGTAATATGTATCATAAGTGTACTATGTATAATGTGCACAATATGTATGTTGTGTATAATGTGTGTATGTATTCGGGTAACTTGTGAAATAGCACATATATATGTACATGTATATACACGTGTATGTTATTTATGAGTAGGTCGCTGCGTGGGGATGTAAGTAGGCAAGAATGTATGCCTCGGTGGAAAAGGACATGGATGCAGCCATATGCATGGCATTGGCAGTGTCAGAGCCTTCGCAAGGTCCACAGGCACACGTGCCCTGCCTTCTTCACCACCCGAGTGTTTGTCGACGAATTCTGCAGTGCGGAGGCTTAGAAAACAAACCTTTGCCTCGACTGTGTAAACGTATCATAGCACATGGGGTGTGTTCCGTACATTGGGCCGTTGGAGCTGTTAGGAGACTGGAAGCCCAAGGTGGCCCGCATGGCCGCAGAATATTGGCGCAACGAGCAGCGAACCGGCTCTGTGCCGTGTGCTCGACTGTGATTCTTGCGCGAAGTTGACAACATGTCTGCACTAGCATTGCAGAGGGAAGAGCAAATGCAACACAACTACTTCGTTTCATTTCACTTCACTTCACTGCGCCTCCCACTCTCACTTTCGCTCGCCTCTTCACGCGCTGTGGTCGACCCTCACCAAGATCCGGATTCCGGATTGCTAGACTGATGAGCTCAAACTGGTCTCTGCACCTTAGCAGTGCGAAGGCCTGCTTGCTCCTTAATATTGATTGGTGCGCAGAAAGGTTCACAGGGATTACGTCCTAGAAGAAGCAGCCGGTCAGCGCCCCTCAGTCAACGCACGCACTCCTGTTGTTGTCTCTATTTCGAAGTGCCACATGTTGAAGGTCTTGGCTCGTGCATGACATTTGCTCGCAAACGCATTGATTCCTCTGTTCTCTCTTGTTTTCTCAGTAAGATCCCTCTATTCCCAACATCGCAGAACACTGTGGTGCAGTTCAAGAATTGCGCTTCTCAGCGCAAGACTTCGGATGCGGCTTTGGATATGGCTCCACTGGGGTTCCGCCATGGTAGCCGTTTAGCCGATAGCAACAATCTCGGTTGGACAGACTGGTCTCGCACCAGTAGGACGTGTGACGTGTTGGGGTCGACTCGCGACCAACATGGAATATGGTCGCGACGTTTCACAAACAGACCAGGACACTCATACTACCCATGTTCGCCCACTTGCATCATACCGTTACTGGTACCACCGCTAACCACTACCATTGCCACGACGACGAGCATGAGGAAAGCGACGACGACGACCACGAGTGCGGCGGCGGCGGTGGCGGCTGCTTGCTGCTGCGATCCGCTGTGGGTGGTGATAGTGAGCCTAAACGACCGTAAGAGTCGTTCTACCGTGATACCGAAGTTATGCCGATAACCCCTATATACCTTGGTGGAACCGAGGCCCCCAGCGCTGGCTGGAGCTCCAAGTCCAGGCCTGCGGCGGCAGTGCCGCTGCCAGAGATTCTTTGTTCGAGTAGTTCATCAGCTCGTGCAGTGGTCCACTCGTCCTGGGTACAGGAAGCACAGCGGCGACTAGCACAACGCCACTCAGGCTGCAGTGGAAATGGCAGTGCTGAGTCATCAGCAATCGAGTAGAAACGAGACTCTGATGTGGAGCGGGAGATTTATGTGTTTGTTAGTTTTGAGGATTTTTGGTCACATTCGTTTCCCCCTATGCCCTATGACTGTACCAACACCCAAGTCTGCAGCTGATGAAGATCAAGCGCTTGACAGAAGATGTTGACAAAGGCAGTCATTACTGAAACCTGAAGCAGCTTAGCCCTGCTTTCGACATGCCTTTCTGCTACAGTTCACAGGTCGCACGGCACTTGCTGCAGCCATAACCAGAGACCACTAAGGGACAGCACTTCGTAGTCTGTTGATCAAAACACCCGCAACCCCAGCCACCGTCTGCATCCCTCAAGATTCCTACCCGTATGCAATGTTGGTAACTTGTGCTTCCATAACTCTGCACGGTAGAGCCTGACGAGCCCCTAAGTTTAAGAAGCTCATGAAGCTCTCACGCTTGATTTCTGCGGATCCTTCAGTATTTGCAGCCGGACCAGGGCCTCAGAATCACAGTCCTTCGTTGAGACTTGGATCTCCAACACTGTGGAACACGTCGTTATCCGGTTCACGTGGCAGTAAGACCTGTAAAGACGAAACAGACCCTACGCTGAAGGCTTAAGGGATCCTTCACAGGTCTTGGAGTCCTTAAAACGACCTGTAAGTATCCTTTCGCAATCTACAGCGGCGTGAGGATATTAGCTGAGTATTCAAGAACTGATGAAGGCGCACACACACATACGCATACACGCCCCCTTAGATGCAATCGGCCTCGCTCGCTCGCTCGCAAGAGACCCCGAAGTTGGCTGAGGCAGAGTTGGAACTCCGGGGCCTCACCCGCGTTCAGCGCAGTCCTCGGGGGCTTGCTCAAGCAGTTCCCTTTCGCAGACAGACCCACAGGCAGCACAGGACTCGCCACAGTGCAGACCCTGGTGCCCCTCTCTGAAAATGCGCTCCTTCCGGCACCTGTGCTCGCCCACTGATTCTCGAGGTGCCGCCTCCGGTGTGACCTAGGTCCGCTCCTACGAGTCAGCAGCTCAGCAGGCCCAGCACCAGTATCAGCACGTGATGCAATGTGTGCACCACATCACGACTTCGTTTGTGGCTCGCGCCAGTCAGCTGCTGCCTGACTGAGTTGCTGAGGTGCCAGCTCTGACGAAGGAGCGAATGAGCAAACAGTAGCCCCAGCTCGTTATTGCGCTGGCTATCTTGCCATAACAAGCAGAAGATTCGAGTTGTCTTATGCTGCATGCGAATTCGTTCCGGCCTGGACTTCCAAAAAGGCAGGCTGCCGAACAAAAACATAAAACTTTTGAATGCAGGACGGTTTCGTTTTTCGGCCAGCGGTGTCAGGGAACGTTGCCAATATGCTGCTCAGCAAATCCAACCCAAGCTCCGCAAGCCACACACACTAGCTACTACACGCAAAGACCCCAGCTTTCGGAAGAGCCCGAGTACCCCGACGCCCCGTTTATGGAGACAGCCTCGGTGAAGCCGAGGGATTTATATCCTCCACATGCGAAGGGTCCGCCAAGAGCGCATCTGGCGAAAAATGCAGTAGCAGTAGCAGTAGCAGTCGCAGTGGCAGTGGCAGTAGCAACAGCAGTCGCAGTGGCAGTGGCAGTGGCAGTGGCAGTGGCAGTGGCAGTAGCAGTAGTAGTAGCAGTAGCAGTAGCAGTAGCAGTAGCAGTAGCAGTAGCAGTAGCAGTAGCAGTAGCAGTAGCAGTAGTTGTAGTTGTAGTTGTAGTTGTAGTAGTAGTAGTAGCAGCAGCAGCAGCAGTAGTAGTAGTAGCAGTAGTAGCAGTAGAATTAGCAGGAGTAGGAGTAGGAGTAAGAGTAGGAGTAGGAGTAGGAGTAGGAGTAGGAGTAGGAGTAGGAGTTGGAGTAGGAGTAGGAGTAGGAGTGGGAGTGGGAGTGGGAGTGGGAGTGGGAGTAGGAGTAGGAGTAGGAGTAGGAGTAGGAGTAGGAGTAGGAGTATAGTAGTAGTAGTAGTAGTAGTAGTAGTAGTAGTAGTAGTAGTAGTAGTAGTAGTAGTAGTAGTAGTGGCAGTGGTAGTAGTGGTAGTAGTGGTAGTAGTGGTAGTAGTGGTAGTAGTGGTAGTAGTAGTAGTAGTAGTAGTAGTAGTAGTAGTAGTAGTGGTAGTAGTATTCGGAGTAGTAGCAGCAGTAGTAAGTTCTGCTTCTGACATGTGCTGCAGTCAGTGCCAGGCAGCAGTTGCGGTTGGAAGCAAATCCAGGCGGAAACCTGTCGCGTCAGAGAATGTGACTTACGCTTGCTGGGCTCTCACAGTCGGCTGCAAAGATAGATAGGACCAAACGTAGCAACTTACAAGATGACATGGTGTGTTCTTGAGTTTGCATCTCAGCATGCCGATGGGTTCCCTGGAGTTTGGCCTGCTATTAATGGATGCAGAATGGAGGAAGGATGCACGCACCGAGGCAAGCCGTTGTTGCAGTGAGGCATGCCATCCTGCATGGGCGCCAATACCGGCCGCTGCACGCATCATGCAAGCAAGTTTCGCAGGCACGCCTGTACCAGATGATGAAGACGAGTGCCGGCCATGATGAGTGACTTTCCAAGCTGCTAATTGCTCGTTAAGGTATCTTTCTGACAGGTGTCAGTGGCTGAAGGTTTGCGTAGCTTGTTTGTTTGCCTTCTTCGAATCTCAGAATGTCAAACAACATGCACGCACCCAGATCATGGGCTTGGACCATTCGGACTTTTGCTACTGCCATCCGCATAGTTCATGTGTAAGTCAGTGAAAGTTTGTCGCTGTCCCCACCAAGTCTGCATCCCGGAAGCCGGCGTAACGAGATTGCGAAGGCCTGGGTGACGAGCCAAGCAGATGCAAATCCCCGGTACATTGCGGACGTCGCTTTCGTCTTTATCATATGGCTCTTGACTGGAGGCCGCGGAGCGCGAACGCGGACCACTGCGACAGAATGAGATTGTAAAGAAGGTCCGGTAATGATGAGATCTGTTTGTGCTCGTCTCTGCCGAGATGGACACATATGCGTCGTGTCCATCTCGCCTTGGCAGACTCGGAGAGCGGTGCGTCGGATTGGCAGCCAGGAATCTGTCTGCCAAGGGTCTGCAGGAAGAAGATGACCCAGTCAACGCTGACGCGGAGTGTCGTGGAGCAATGCAAGAAGCCAGCGATGTTTCCGCTCTGTACAGGACCCGGCAGCGCACCGGCGCATGACTGCAGAGTTGGAGTTTGGTAGGATTGCTTTGCCCGAGGGTGTGGCCTGGGACCCTTTGCGGTCGCACAGCAGTGCGCTTCTTGGCTGTGCCGAAAGTTGAGCTGGGAGTTGCAACCAAAGGTGGGAGGCGAGGAGGTCTCAGCGCTTTTGCAAGTGAAATCGACCGTGCGAGCCACCGAAGCTTGTGGGCTCAGAAGCCTCCCGGAGGGAGCGTCCGGGCCGATTTTTCCTTAGGATGTGCTTAGGATCTAACTTAGAATGCCTTCTGTGAGCCCAGATGCAAGCTGCCACATGCACTCTCTACATGCTGTCTTGGAAGGACTCGCACTTGATAGCTTGAGTGGAGGCACCGGCCAGAAAATTGAAAATGGAAGAGGGCGGTTCGGTGTAACTTGGGGAAATCGAGGTTAAGCAACACGAAGGGGTGGATACAGCGAAAAGGTATCTTTGGACTGTCAGAAAAGAGCTTGCTCTCTTAGACTTGTCAGGCAGCAAAGACGATGAAGATAACTCAGATCTCAAAGCTGGCTGCCGCAAGCAGCAGACTGAGTGGCGTGCCCAGCGCTTGAGCGACTTCCTGCGCAGGGAGGGTTTCACTGATATCGACACACCCCGAAAACGCAGTGGTTTCCTGTGTTCGCTGTTCCGGCAAACGCGCGCCTTTGCCATCCACGTTGCAGCAGAAGTCGGTGACGCGGAAATGGTGCGGACCCTGCTCAGGGCCAAAGCCGATCCTTCTCAGAAAACTTCTCGAGGACACACAGCCGTTGAGCTGGCCAGGTCAGCAGACAAGTTGCTTGGAACTGATTGCGAAGATCTGTGTGTGTGTGTGGTTAGGCTCTGTCCACGGGCACATGATGTGCGATTCTCTGGCATGATTGTCCGAGTGGATACTGCGTTGAAAGCATTCTTTCGGCTTAATGCTTGCATTAGTCAGATGCTATCCGAGATGCCGAGGTATGGGTCCCATCGTGAGGTCCTGGAGCTGCTGAGTGGTGATGTCCACTATGTGAACCTTCGTGAGGCAGTGGCGCTTATGCAGATCTCACTTGCCAACAGCGAGCAACAGAGCTGGAACGTATATCTGGATGACGATCCTGGCGTTCGACTGGAGATGCTTCCGGTCCCGGATGCCGTCTCTTGAGTCAGCATCGTGCAGATTTGCGCCTCCATAAGCTGTAGGACAACTGTAGGAGCTTCATGCATCTCTTGGAGACCAGCCGCAGTGGCTCCACGCAACTGCATAGTGAGATTCAGTCACACGTCTGAGCGCATTTTTGGTGAGGTGTGCATAGCTCGTATCAGACCAGAGGAACCTTGCAGTTGTTTCGGATAATTACATGCTGTTGTCTGTTCCTATACGGCAGCATCATCATCTACTTGCGGCTAATCATAGAGACTGAGCCACACACTCTCTTCACATACGAGGTCTCCAGGAGCAAGAGCAGCAGTTCGGTGTAGTTGTCGTTGCCGTTTGAATACGAAGTAGACGGGTCTGGCGTGAATGACAATCACACTTCCAGCTTGCTTCCAATTTCCTAGCCTCTCCTCACGTCAATCCCATCTCCATGCATGCCCGAGAGATTTTCAACAGAGTGGAAGAGCAGGCTTTCTGGTCTCAGGTTTTCCGTTTTGCACTGATCAGAAGCTCTGACCGCAGAGTGTTCGGAAAGTCAGAAAGTGTGGCAAGCTCTGAATACTTGTTTCAAGTTGTGTTCGTTTGGAAGCACACTCTGCCCGACGACTGTTTGTAGGCCTTGAGGGACTCATCCCAACTGGAGTTTTAAAAGCCAGAGCTAGCTGCTGAGGTGCAGCCTAGCGAGACGGCTCGGTAAGTATATGAGCACTTTTACGATCTGTCGCACGTCCTCCGATTCAGGACGAAAGCAAAGTCTGCGTGTCTTGCCAACCTTGAACGGCCTCTGCCGTTTGCTCTTTTCTTGCGGATGTCGAGAAGGCCAGGTAGAAGAGATCCCGATGACTTCTCAACGCGCAGACCCAAACACGGACCTGATTTGACGCACACAAGCATTGGAAAAGGATGCTGCAGTGTCCCTGCAAGAATCGCAGGCCCAAGCATTGCTCGGTTCGACCTGTTTCTGATTGGGGCGAGTCTCTTTGAGCCTGTCAGCTGATCCAGCTCTCAGTTTATGATCTAGGTTGTGTTTCAACACCCTCGTGGCATTTCGACCGTGTGCTTGGCAGTCCTGGGGACCTCGGAGCAGTTGGCTGACGATTTGAGTGTGGCCTCAAAACCGGTGCGTTATCGTTCCTTGGCAGGCGTTCGTTGCATTTCGGAAAGGAAGGGGCAGATGGAAGACGCTGATTGAGCTGTGCTGTCGATGCGCCTATGTTGAAGGTTTCTGGCACAAGTGGTAGAGTAGAGACTACGTCCGAACAGCCATGGCTGCTACTCGTGCACGATCCGGGCTTCTGGGGTCTTTCTTGTGACCTGGCTGTGTTGAAGCTAAAGGTTCTGCACAAACAGCGCGGTGTCGCGGTTTGCTCTGTCTGCGTTCGGTAGTTTCGCTCTGCTTTGTTCATTGTTGAACTGATTTGCTCTGCTTGTTGTTCGTGTCTCGGAGTTTGGAGAAGTTGTAGCTCGCGGCCTCATGCCTATTTCCGTTGGCAGATGCTCACCAGTCAACAGTCCGCTTTTCCTCTGTCGAGGTTGGCTGCTTGCCTGATGTCGCTGCAGGCCGCATGAGGTCGTCTCAGATAAAACTGTGGCTAGCGGCGGTGCGAGGCCTTCGTGCCGGCCCCCCGTGCCGAGTCAGCGTCTCTCCGCGGCTTGGCCGCTGCCAGCAGCATCGCCGCGGCGCCCGGCGTGGCCTCGGCGGCCGATGAATACCTGAACTACAACATGACAGGCCGGCAAGCAGCCTTCTGAACTGTCCGGGGCACGGGGTCCGTTTCTGACAGGAGAGTTCACACCTTTCATGGTCATCGGCTACTTTGGCCTTACCACATTCCTGACTGCCTTCGCGTTCGGCTCCTACCTTGTCCTGACCAAGCTGATTCTCGGAAGAACTTGCCAAGTTTGCATTGCAGTCTTGATTCATGACCTCGGCATGATGCTGTGAGCACACGTTTCTTTTCACAAGCCTTCACGTGTGTCTCGTGCTAGCCCCATTCAAGACCGAGGAAGATCATCTGAATGCGCTGTTCCACAAGTCTCTGAACTTGGAAGACTTCTGGACTTTTTCCCAGCAGTTGGTGCCAGAAACCGAGTTCTGCGTCGCACAAGCTGTGACAAAAGTGTGTACTGGCTAGGCACATGGTCTGAATCAGTGATTTTCGTGCGCGCGCGCGCGCGCGCGTGTGTGTGTGTGTGTGTGTGTGTGTGTGGGTGTGTGTGTGTGTGTGCCTGTCGAGAGGTAGCTGCAAACAAAGCTTGTTGACCTAACTTCTGGCTGTTTTTCCTGAAACTGTCCGCAGATTAAGCATGGCTTTTTCAAAAAAAACCCAGTCTCCCGGTGCTCTTCCAAGATCTTGGATTTGCAGGAGCCGATTCTGATGTTGCCAGTCTCCTTCCGATGTTGATCACCGGCATGTCTGTTGCATGTTGCAACTACAGGAAGAGAGCACTAAGAACATGTAAATACTCCACGTGCATTGGTTCTGCTCGGTATTGGTGATGCATGCTACGGTCTTGTGAAAACAGCAATAACAATCTGATTTTTAGGTCAATGTTTGTAGGTAAAGTTCCTGTGTAGTTGTATTATCACATGTGTGCATCGCGACACAGTTAAGCGAGAACTATGACTGATGTACCACAAAGCCGCAACGCTGGTACACAATGTGAATCTGGAGAGCATGTCAACACTCCGTCTCAGAAGGGTCTCCATGTAGTTGTAGTTGTGCTTCCTCTCATCAAGCCGTCTTGTGCTTGCCACGCTGAGATCGTTCCAGGTTCATCCTCTTTCGACGAGGTTGTTTGACCACCCATTCGTCACACTTGACGGGCAGACACTTCTCCTTAAGCCGGTGGTGCGTTGCAACGCAAACGGATCGAACCCGTAAGACTGAAGAGCCGAAACTCGCAGTTTGGCTCGAAAGCACAAAGGCGGCAAGGTAGATCAGGAGCATCCGTTAGCAGTTCACCAGAAATGGCACGAACTCGCTCCAGTCTCATTGCTATGCTCCTGCAACATGGTTGCATCCTGTGAATGTCTGCAGGTGACAGGTCCCCACGGTCTAAGAACATGTAAGATCTTGCTTGATCGGATGAGCTTAGGTTGATGGCTGTGACCATGGTTGCACTGCAGGTGCTACCGTGTCGCGTGGAGTTGATGTTGATGCGGATATGCCACGATACCTGTGGCTTTTCCTGAAAAGCTGCTAGGCCTTCGTGCCGGCTCCCCGCGCCGAGTCCCCATCTCTTCGTGGCCTGGCTACGGCCGCTGGCATCGCCGCCGCGCCGGGCGTGGCCTCCGCGGGTGACGAGTACTTGAACTACAACATGACGGGCACCTTGCTTTGCATGCTTCTCGTGATCCACTGTTGTCTCCCCAACACCCTCAGCCTATGCAGTTTCTTCAGAGAGATATCAGTGTTAAACCCGTGGTTGAAGCATGGAGCTCAATGTTCTTTCCACTTGTAGGATAGCTGCGTGCGTGATTGTGGCTTTTCAGTGCGGATTGATGGGTTCATGCAAGGTGAATTCACACCTTTCATGGTTATTGGGTATTTTGGCCTCACGACCTTCCTCACCGCCTTTGCCTTCGGCTCCTATTTGGTCCTGACCAAGCTGAAGATCATCTGAGTCTGAGTCTGCGGAAGCCGCTTCCCCCGAGAAAAATCACCAGTAGCTGAAACCTACCTTCTGTGCCTGAGCGAATCTTGTGAAAAGACGTGACATGCTGTTGATACCATGAACCATGACTATCTCGCAAGACAAGCTGCCCAAGCTGCCCAATCAGAAGGTCGGCAGATCTTTTTCCACTTAGACGAGCAGTCGGGAGTGCTGGAACGGCCACCAGCCAACGGAGGAATCCGGCAAGGTCGCGTCACTGCGAAAAGCTGGGCCTGCAGTTCGCAGCCGGTGACTACTAGATGTTTAAGCACTCTAAGAGACTGCTGTTTCACTGTGCACGCGCTTCAATGCAGCTGGCCATAGAGCTCAAAGGAAGGATCCTAAAGGCTTACCCAAGAACAGCTTGCCCAGCCATGGCTGCAACAAGATCACGCACCAGCCTTCTGGCATCGCTTCTGTTTCTCAGATGCAGTTGCAG